GGTCTCACTGAACATAGCGGACAATGAGGACTACTGAGACCTCAAGAACAATGGCAATGGGTTTTTGATCCTACTGCACGTATTGGCTTTGTGGGAGCCTAGGCAGTTTGGATGCTCACCTTACTAGACCTGGATGGAGGAGGGTGGTCCTTGGACTTCCCACAGGGCAGAGAACCCTGATTGCTCTTTGGGCTGATGAGGGAGGGGGACTTGATTGGGAGAGGGGGAGGGAAAGGGGAGGTGGGGAAGAGACAGAAATCTTTAATAAATAAATAAATAAAATAAAAATAAAAAAAAGAAAAAAGACAAAAAATACCCATAGTAGATTTTTAGTGCTAAATATGAAGTTTTGATAACTGTGCCAAATATAAAAAGTGGATTAGATACAAGCCTTATAAAGATTTTTCCTTTTAATATTACTTAGCTCTCTCCTTGAGGATTTCCCAGGTGTCTTAGCAAACCTGATGGCTTCTCAGTTTGTCTGCAGCTGGCATGATTTCTCTTTCTATGTGCTCACACCACAGGTTGGAGTGCCAAACATTTTTAATAAAATTTCAATTGTTCAATTTTACCAATAAAGACTCATAAGCCAGATGCTGGAATAAAAGCCTGCTAGCTCAGAGAGGCAGAGAAATCACCACCCAGATGACCTTCTGGATCCACAGTTAAGAGCTCCCTTATAGGAGACCTATGGGGAGGCTTATAACCAACCATAACTCCAGTCCTGGGGATCCAGCACCCTTTTCTGGCCTGTCAGAACCACGAAGCCTTGCAAATCACAAAACAGGATTTGGGGCTAAAGGAAAAATGCTTTGCTGCTTCAGGATGAAGCGGGCATAGGTCATGACTCCCTGCCTTACCCAGCATTCAAAACCCACAGCAGTTTGGTGAGCCAGGACCCAGACCAGTTCCTACTCCTGGGTCCTGCTGCCCCTTGGCGGCGGCTAGCGGCATCGCGGCTTCCGGAGGTCCCAGGACCGACAGAGCAACTTTGAATGTCCCATCAGACTGCAGGCTTCAGAGTCACCCAACTGCTGACATGGTTCACGAACCTCAAAGGCTGTTGGGGCCACACTGAAGAACCGGCTGTCTCCTGCATAGCCCTGTCTGGATGGAAGCCACACCCCAGCCCCTGGCATCCATATATCCAGAGTCTGGAATGTTGGGGTGGAAGTTCCATCCCAAGACCCCTCCCTGGGAGTTGCCTCGGTCCAGACTCTGCCCACAAGAAAGCCCCTCAAAAGATGACTCCTACCCGGATACTCAAGGCCACTCTCAAAGGGAATTTAAACTCCCCCCCCCCCGACACACACACACAAAGAAACATAATTTTCTGGTCTTTCTTCCCTGTCTCCTCTCTGGGGGACTGGAGCGCCATCCGGAAGCACTGGTGTCCAATAACCTGGGCTGTTTCTAGTTTGGTTTGATTTGGTCTGACTCGGATTATTGTGCCGGGCGGAGTGGTTTATGAGGTGCAGAAACTTTTCAAGCCCCTCACATCATAGTGTTACTTTCTTTCTCTTTCGTTGTTGATGTTGCCAGGGATTCAAGCCTGCATGTTGAGCACGTCATACCTGAACCACACCTCAACCCCACTAGCTTAGATGTAACCCAAAGAAAGGGTTCCCGGTTTCTTTTGGAACACCTTTTTTTTTTTTTAAATTAACTAATTTATTTTTTTAAAAACAATCCTTTCTCATTTTATATACCAACCCCAGTTTCCTCTCCTCCTGTTCCCTCCCCTTCTCCCCCACCCCAGGCCCCCCATCCACTCCTCAGAGAGAGTAAGGCTTCCCAAAGCATAGCACACTGCTTTGACACAAGACCCAGCCTTCCCCACTATATCTAGGCTGAGCAAGGTGTCCATCCAAAGATAACGGATTCTTTGGGAGCACCTTTAATCTCAGCCCTCAGGAGGCAGAGGTGGGAGGATCTCTGAGTTCCTGATCTACATAGGAAGTCCAGGACAGCCAGGGCTAGAAGGTGAGACCAGAACACAGGGATCCCCAAGACTGACACCTGGGGGGAGGGGTGGAGCAGGTGGTCATAAACTTTTCCCATGCTAGCCCTCAGGACAGTGCCCACAGCTGTCCATGTTCCCAGGCCTTGTGGCATGTGCCACCATCCTGGAGGGCTACAAAGCAGTCTGCTCCTAAGCAACCCACGGCCCCTGGGGTCAGAAGCAGGGACAGGTCATAGGTCACCATCCTTCCTTCTTCCTGGATGCCCACCAGCCTGGGACCCGGATAGGCCTACAGTGAGGAAATGCTGGAGAGCTCGAAGGCCCAGGACGAAGGAGAGGAAGCTGTCGGCACATTAGTACTTATTACCGCCTATAGACAGACAGACAACAGACAGAAAGACTGAGCCCCAGCCAGGAGGTGATGGGTTAGTGTTCAAGAGGAGACCACGGGTCCACCAAGTTACAGGGGAGCAGAGGCAGCCTCCACAGCTCTGTCCTAAGAGCTGAGCCGCAATCGCAGAAGCAGTGGAAGCTTTCACAGGTGCGACCCATCAGGGGCGGAGGTGACAGGGATGGGAAATGGTAAAGGTCCAGGAAGTCCAGGAAGAAGTGGCTTGGGCACACTCTCTTGAGGCAGAGTACTCAATGGAGGCTGGGGGAGGAGTGTGGAAGCCTCAGAGACAACAGGAGGGGGAAAGGGGACCCAGGTGACACTGTGTGCGGTGCAGAGTCCATGGGAGCCGGCAGCCCGGGGACCGAGTCAGAAGTTGGGCTTGTGTTTCTTGAGCTCCACCATGAGGTGATGAATATTGATGAGCTCGGCCCTGGCTGGCAGCGCCCGGAGCTGCGGCTGCGCCAGCACCCGGTGGAAGCGATGGTAGAGCTGGATCAGCTGGGTCAGCGCCCCCTGCACAGAGACGACAGGGGTCAGAGCTTCACGGGAATCTCAGACACAGCTGGTCGGTGACTTCCCAGAGAAAACAGCAAGGAAATCATCAGGCATGGGACACGGGAAGGGGCTGGGAGTGGCGGGCACCTGGATGATGCTGGTTCCATTTCTAAAGTTGGTGAAACTCCGCATGACATCCTGACTCAGAGACTCCACCGACGCCTTCCAGGAGCCACCAAAGCCACGGATCAGCTGAGTGACTCGGGCTGACACAGGGAAAGGGGAAAGGGAGTGTCAGAGCAGCCAGGCCTGGGGACCGTCTACCCCGGCAAGGCCTGCCCAGGGCACAGCCGTGCTCCCCGCTATGCCACCCCCTGTGCCCTGCCCCCCTCTCACTGTCCTGTTTAACTCTCCTCCCTGGTCCCATGACAACAGCCTCATACCTTCTTCCCCTCGAAGGCGCTCAGCCTGTCCACGCTCAATCAAAGCCTCAGCCTCCTTCACAAACGCCACCAGACCCCCAAAGGGAGGAGACAGCAACTCCTCAATGAACTCCTAGAGAGATGTGCAAGCCAGAACCAGAGTCAGGAGTCCGGGAACAAAGGACCCCATCTTGGACTGGGATGACGAGGAGGTGACACTCTACAGAACAGCCAGCCTCTGTGAACCTTCCAGGTGGTGATCTCACAAGGGGCAGAGGAAGTCCCCAAGGAAAACCAAGAGCCAATGAGCTGGCTCAGGGGGAGCAGTGCTGCCACTGGACCCCAGAACACAAAGTGGAAGAGCAAGAAAGGAGCCCGGTCCTGGAGTTGTCTTCTGACATACGTGTGTTTCATGACATGTGACTATGTCTGTCTGTCTGTCTGTCTGTCTGTCTGTCTCTCTCTCTCTCTCTCTCTCTCTCTCTCTCACACACACACACACACACACACACACACACTAATAATCCCCTATAAAGCAGAACTGTTTGTTTTGGCATGTGCACACACACACACATACATACACACACACACACACATACACAAGAGCAGTTGGACCTTTGTGGAGGATGGAGGTAGGAAGGATGAAGGCAGAGGCAGCCATGGACAGGACCTTCACCTGCACAAGCCACCGGATCTTTCTGTGGTGTCCTGGCCTGCCAAATGGGGACAATAGGTGGGGCCGCAGCCACCTTCACTCAGTTTATACTGTGAGGGTTAAGAAGCATCACCTGAGGGAAGTGTGAANAGTAGCATCCAGGTCTCCCTGCCACTCCCAGGCCCCACCTGTGTCCGAGCATTGAGCAGCTGCTGGAAACTCTCCACCTCTTTGCTGTCGTCAGCAGCCCGCTCCTAAGGAGACACCCTGAGTGAGGAACTTGGGGACACCCTTCACGCCAGCACCTCCCGCCACCCCACACTGCAGACACAGCGCTGAGCTGGTGGAGCTGACAAGCCGTGGGGACCCCGGGGAGGAGCGGCCTTACCATCAGCACACCCAGCATCATGTCGTAGTTGTTGATCAGAAACACAAGCTGCTCCTTCCTGGAGGAGAACTCCGCAGCCACTCGGAGGACAAAATTCTCCACCTCCACCTGCAACAGCTCAACAGAAGCAGCAAGTGAGAAAGCCAGACCTCAGGGCCCTCCCTCCCCATGCTGGGAAGTCTGTGTGCCAGCCCCACCTGTAGCTGTCCCAGCAGCTGCAGGGTGCGTTCATTGGGGATGGTCTGGTTGATGCTGACCAGCGCGGAGGAGAACTCAGCATAGCGGCGTGTGATCTAGGACCAGGGAGGGAAGACTCCCATGAGCCTGCCTGGCAGACACAACCTCCCAGCTGCCTCTGCAGCTCCTGCTCCCAGTCCCCTGTCCTGTATTGGCCAAACCACTAAGTGTGACCACAAGACTCCCTTGTTACCCTCACCCTCCCTCACATAGTGGGGCCGAGTGTCCAGCCCCCCAAGGCGCTGGGGGTCAGTGCTGCGGACGCTCTGGACATTCATCTCCAGGATCAGCTCAAACCGAGGCCACAGCAAGGCAAGCACCTGCTCCCAGTACCTGCAGGCTTAATCAGAACCAAAGGTCAGCTGGCTAGGGGGCTGGCAGGCCGTGGGTGCACAGCACCCTTCAGGGGAATGGTGACTGAGGGTGCAGGGGTGCGTGTGTGTGACACCAATGCTTTCTCTAAACACACACGGGAATAAGGTGAAGGACATCAGGTGAGGGACAGCCAGGGTCAGGATGGAGCTGTCTGTGTAAGATAAAGCCCTGACGTCTTAGGAACCAGGACCCGAGCGCAGCGACCTGTCCAGAGCAGGCACGTCCCTCTTGGCTGCAATGTTGCGGAATCGGAGAACAATGTGTATGCAGAGAAAAACAGCAATGGCGTCGTAGCAGTCGGCCAGGTAGGACTCCAGGTGTTTCTGTGGTGCAGCAACAGGCAGACGATCTGATGTCAGCTTGTTGTTCAGGTGGCTATGAGCAAATGGTGGTATATTTCTAGGGGGACAAGGCGCTGGCTGGGGAGACACCTCCTTTCCTGTCCATAGGCTCCTCCGGGGCCCCTGACTTGCTCACTGGCCTCAACTATAAAAGTTCCTCACAGCAGAAGCCAGGGCTGAGGATTTAAAGTCCCTCTTTACTGAGGAAAAACACAGAGGAAGTAGCAGGTTCCCGAGTTCTGAGGGCTTCCAAGGGGGTCATGTTGTGAGATAAACGCTTAGACTTTTTAGAACGGGACACTCCTGCTTTCAATCCTGCCACTTGTGACCCCACTGGATGTGGAGGAGCCCTGAGAACGGAGGGTAAAACACAGAATCCAGGGGCTTACCAGGGTCATGGCGAGTGTGCGGCCCATGACAGCGTGGAATAGGTCATGTGCAGCTGGGCCAGATACAACAAAAAATTCACAGATGAAAAGATATTCACAGCAAGAATTGTCGAGGAGGGCGTAGTGCTGGCTGCGGAAGAGAGCTTCGAATAGATACTGAGGGACAGAGAGAAGGGTGGGATCCAACACTGACCCCACAGATATGGGGCCTCAGCATATCTCAGGAAAGATTCTCTCACACACCTGACCTCCATGCAGGGAGGAACGCCCTGAACAGGCGCTGATGAGGGCACAGGACACTAGGAAAGCCTCCCCACAGCTGCTGCCTCACGACTGATACCGCCATGGCCAGTCTCCTGTGTCCCCCAATTACAGCAGGCCAGGGCCCCAAAGTCCACTCTGACACCTTAGGGGATTGATCCCAATCATGGAAGGGGAGCCTCATCATACCCTCTGCTCTCCACGCTGAGCAGTATGGGGCACCAGGATGGGGGCCTCAAGTTCAGTGGGGGAGATGACAGAACCCCGGGTGCCCAGGGTGAAGATGGTGTTCCTGCTTCGGAGGGACGGCTTCGAGAAGAATCGTGAATAACATCAGAGTCAGGGAAATCACTGAGACTGACCGGAGATTCCTGGGAAGTTAAAAATGACCTGGACACCCCCTTCCAGAACCAGGACCTCACTTCACCCGACACCTTAATGGGCATCAGGGAGTCTACAGACCCTCGGGGTCAGCATGAAGAACTTTAGGATGATATGCGCCTCTGGGAGGGGAAGCCCCACAGAGAGGGTAAGAAGCAGAACCTGGGGGCTGGAGCCAGGCAGCCCCACAGTGAGCCTGACATGGTGGGAGTGTGACAGGAGCCCCCGATCCAGGATATCTTTCTTTGCTGTGTCTTCCACACCCATTAGATCATCCTTCTCAGCAACCTCCTCGTACTAGAGAAAACGACAGAGAGCTCAACCATGGCCCCAGCACCAGCAGGTGTGGAGCTCCACCCTCCTCCAAGCCACCTCTGCCTGCCCAGCTCACCTGCACTTTCATGAGCCGCCCCAGGTAGGAGCGGAAGTAAGACAGGTAGATCTTGCTCAGTGTCTCCACATACTCATCCCTGATCTCCTTGGCTGTTGCTCGCTCGTTGCCCAACAGGAACTGGTAGAAGAACCTGGAAGGGCCAGGGCGCGTCAGACCCTGGACATTCACGGTGGGCTGCTGAAAAGCTCACGGTCCCTGTGTCTGTCCCAGGGTGGCGACCTGTACTTCAGCAGGGCTGTCTGGGGGATCTGATAGTTGGTCATCGGCTTGCGGAAGGAATAGATCTTCTGGAGGATGAACTCGCGGATCTTTGTCACCGCCTAGATGTGGGGGACAAAGAGGCCATGAAGCTGTAGAAGGAAGCAAGGAGGTGACAGATGTGAGGGTAAAGGGAAGGCAGAGGATACTAGGATACTCTGGTTGTGTTTTTGTTTATATTTTGTTTGTTGAGTCAAGGTCTACGTAGACCAGGCTGGCCTAGAACTCACCTGCCTCTGTCTCCCAACTGCTAGGGCTAAAATCACTTACCACCATGCCTGGCCTTATTTTTCAGACTGTTTTTTTTTTTAAATATGGAATGCTTTATAAATTTCATGTGTTCTCCTACACGGAGGCTATGCTAATCTTCTCTGTATTGTTCTAATTTTAGTTTCTACATTGTTAGCTTTTGAGACGGGGTCTCATGTATTTCAGGCTGGCCCCAAACTCCCTGTGTAGCAGTGAATGACCCTGAAACTTCTGATCTTTCCTCTGTCAGCTCCTGAGTGCAAGGACAGCAGGCAAGTGCCAGCAGGTCAATGTCTGCAGAGCTGGGGTGGAACCCAGGGCTTCGTGCACACTAAGCAAGTGCGCTACCAACTGAGCCACATCTCCAGCTTCTCCAGATTTTCGGGGAGACCAGAGGGCCAGTGAGCACCGCACTGAGGGAAGCTGCGTGGGTTCTTGGGAGGTGACTCTAGTGTCCACACCCTACCTTGACCCGCAGCCGGTCTAGCACGCCCCTGACGTCTGCGCAGGCAGCTGTGCCTCTTGCCTCCTGCTCTCTGACTGCAGCTGCCTTGGCGTCCAGCTCCTGCAGCTGCTCCAGGAACCTGGGCTCTGTCACTGGAGCTTCCAGAATTGCTCTGAGGAGCAGGGAGGACGGGGGTCAAGAGAAGGGACAGTCAACAGTGCTGAAACAGACCGACCCACACCCTCACAGCTTGCAGTCATTTTTGCCTCCGTCCCGTCTCATACCTTCATTATACATACAGAGGTCTCAACTCCTGAGCCCGCCTCCCCACAGGCTCCTCACTACACACCTGATCTTGGATCACGCCTAACCCACGTGCTATCCTATGGTGGCTAAAGCAGGGTTTGGAGTTATTAACCCAGCCATTAATTTCTACAACTTTTTTTTTTTTTTTTTTTTGGAGTTTTCGAGACAGGGTTTCTCTGTAGCTTTTTTTTTTTCAGTTCCTGTCCTGGAACTAGCTCTTGCAGACCAGGCTGGCCTCGAACTCACAGAGATCTGCCTGCCTCTGCCTCCCGAGTGCTGGGGGATTAAAGGCGTGTGCCACCACCGCCCGGCTTCCACAACTTTTTAAAAACAAGATCCCACTCTGTAGCCCAGGCTGGTGACCTGTAGCATCCTACTGCCTGGACCCACTCTGTAGCCAAGGGTGATCACTTGCAGCAAACCTCCTGCCTGGACCTTCCCAAACGTGAGATTACGGGCATGAGCCAGCACTCCTGGTCTCTAGATGGTACCTGACAACCTCAGCCCGACCACCTGCTCTGGACAGGGACCCTTCAAACCAGCGACTCACGTGACCAGAGCAGAGGGCACCACTAGCCCATCTACAAGTTCCCCAAGTTTCCCCCGCACTGCTTGTCGGTTACGAAGTCGGATGTTCATGGCTCCTGACTGCTCCTGCAGGGTCCGGATCTCGGAGCTGATGGAGCTGAGGTCGCTCTGGAAAGCTCCCAGCATCTGCTCCATGCGCTACGGGGAGGGCAGGAAACACTGTGGGCATGTCACCCAAGTGTCTGAGTGAACACCCCAGGATCCAACAGCCCAGGAGGGCGGCACATATTCATTTGCCCAGGGAACAAAAAGTACTGCCAAAACAAAACAAAAAACAAAACAAAACAAAAAAACAGGAGCAGAGGGCATGACACTGTCAAGGCTGTCAGGGGCCACAGACAAGGGCCACCAACCTCCAGGACAGCGTCGCAGGCTGTGATCTGATTGTGCAGAGACGCGATGTTTTCACTCTCTTGGATATCTGACCCCCAAAAGTCAAGGGCTTCTCACTGAACACAGAGTTCTGAGGACCAGCAGTACTCCCCCGAAAGTCTCCCCAAAGTGACAGAAACCTTAGAGAGAGATACCATCCCTGTCAGGGCTACCTGCATCACACCACCCCAGACCCCATCTTTTCCCTCTGCTGGGGGATACAGTCCCGGATGGACTTTTGCTCAATCTGCTGCAGCTCCAGCTCCACCTGCTTCGAATAGTGTCGCAGATCCACACCCTGGGGAAATGACAAGAAGTCAGGAAGAAGCCCCGGTGAAAGGACACCAGAACAGACTCAGTGCCGGGCTGGAGGGGACTGAGGAGGGGGGGTGGGGCAGACTGGCATAGTGGAGAGCCTCACCGTCTTGAGAGCTTCCTTCACTAACTCATCCTCCAGATTTGCTTGGATGTGAACTGGAAACAGACATTTTCCATCAGGGTCCAGCGCCACGCCTCCCTCTGCCCGCCCTGGGCACCTGCACACCAGCCTGCCCTTTCCTTCCGACCCAGTGTCTCCAGTGATAAGGACAGCAGCTTTGGCTCTGCTGCTTCAGTTCCTCAGTCTAGCCAACCACGGACCAAAAATATTAAATGGCAATCCCAAAGCGTGATTTAGAAGCTTTTAAGGGTGCGGCATTCTGAGAAGTTGAAGGCCCCCTCACCCGCCTTGGACTTGCATTGTCTTTGCTGGATGCATCTACGGGTGTGTGTGGTACCAGCCTGTCAATCACTCACTAGCTGTCTTCGTGATCAGATTGGCTGTCTGCACATGTCTATGCTCAAACAAACCTTGTTTTCACTAATAAGAGTCCGGAAGAGCAAAAATGGGGACTCAGCAATTTTATCATAATAAAATAGCTGTTCATTTCTTACTGAACCTAAATTGGAAGTTAAACCTCAATTCATCGATTAAACTTTATACTGCATTTAAAAAAAACATGCAGGGGTTAGTATGGGGGGGTCATCTGTCGGCCGCATAACATATTCCTAAAGGATAAAGGGGCTGGCTACGCTGCCCCCACCCACGCCACCACTCACCATCCACTTCATCCAGGATGAATTCATCAGAGGTGATATCCAGCTCCCCAAGCTGCAGGGGCTCTTGGAGTCCGGAAGCACCCCCCTGAAGAGGGGCAGATTAGTGAATGTGGGATACAGAAAGGCGGGAAACAAAATACAGCGGGATACTCCTAATCCTGAAAGTGAGGTGGGGGCGCTTTCTCTGGGGAGTCACAGTTAGTGGGCCAAAGATTCTCACGCACTCAGATCTACTTTTCAGGGCTAATGAGTAGAAAATATGTCAGAAAAAAAAAAAAAACAAAACAGGCAATTCGCTGGAGGTGTTCAAATGAGAAAAACTAGGATTAGCCGGACTTGCCTTTGAATTTAGGACGGCTGTCTTGTTACCTCGGGTGTTGTACCATCGCACCCTACGAGATCCAGATGCTAAAATTGTGAGCTTACATGCTGTGTACCTGTGTGTCGGGTGCACCCTCACTCATACTCATTCGGCTAAATCCTAACGACGACCTATAAGGTAGGTCCGAATAACGCCTCTCCTGTACAGGTGTGGGAAGCGAGGCCTCGGAAAACACAGCTTACAAGTGGTGGGGCTGGAAGTGGGAGCAAGGCATCAGGCTCCAGAGCCCACGTTCTGAATCTTTTACACTACTTCCTCTTTTCTACTAAGAATTTTTTTTTTTTTTTCTAGCGTGAATAGGAAGCTGACACTTGTCCGTGGGACTTGAGTTCCTGCCACTCTGGTCCCTATGAAGGCTCGGTCACCATCACCGGGAGCAGGAGGAGACCGTTGTCTGAGCTCAGCCTCCACCTTCCTGAGGACACTCCCGAGGACACACTGCCCCGTGATCTCACCAGCGGGCCCTCCTCCTCCTCCATATCTGAGGCCCCGGCCCGCAACACCAGCTCGCGGGCAGCCGCCGCCATGGTCGCCGCCGCGGCCATTCCCCCGCAGCCTCACTTCCGTCGGCTGTCAGGCTCGGAGTCCGTTTTCAGAAGCAAAAACCACAAGTCCCAGAACGTCTTGTCTGGCGCAAAAAAAAAAGTTCCGTGATATTTGAGCTAACGTGATTAACTCCAGTCTCCCCTGTGAGACTCAGATCACTTCGGCCAAGTGCGAAAGCGAAGGAAGGCGATCGCCTCAAACGAACACAATCCTGCCCCGGAACCTTCGCTGCGCGCACGCCCGGAACAGGACCCTTACGACGGTAAAGACGACCGGACCGGAAGTTATGATCCCCAATCCAAACTCTCAAAATTCGACTCCTCGCGGGGAGAGAAGCCGTTTCCTGAAGCGCGCCTGCTAGATAGCCCCGCCTCTTCCTCCGGGACGGTATATAAGGACGATGCGTCATTTCCGCTCCCTCTTCCACGGGAGGCCTACACGCCGCCGATTGTGCCACCGCCATGGTAAGAGCGGACTCCGCGCCGGCATCGGGCGACATCTGAGCCGGGGCAGGGAGCGTTTTCCCGTCGGGGGTCTGAGGAGGCCCTGGGCTGCCTGCCTGCATCTCCCCCGAGATGATGGCGCGCGACCGAGGACGTGGAGTTCCGGGGAGGAAGGGGCATGCCCTGCACGCACCAAAGTTGCAGGAGCCTGGCCGGGTGGGTCCTCCGCCTCCCGTGCCCGGAGCGCATTTGGCCGCGGCCAGCGTCCCCCGTCGTGTCCGGGGTTGCATCTTCCCGCACCTGAGCGTCTGCGGTGAGCGCTGAGCTGTGGAGGAGCTGGCAGAGTAGGGCTCCGTGCTCGCCGGTGGACCCCCGCCTCAGCCGCCTTTTCGGCTTGGTAGCCACCAATGTCTGTTTGTCCCTCGTGTCCTTGCAGTCTCTCGTGATCCCGGAGAAGTTCCAGCACATCCTGCGAGTACTCAACACCAACATCGATGGGCGGCGGAAAATAGCCTTTGCCATCACTGCCATTAAGGTAAAAGCAGCAGGCAGGGGATGCAGAAGAGAGGAGACATGGGGCGTGAGTGTGGTCCTGGCCAGCGTTGTGAGAGCCGCCCTGAAGTGTTCTCTGTGGCACACTGTAGCGGTGAAGCTTGGGTCGGATTTCTGTGAATTCACATCCGTGGATCTGGAGTGTTATTGGGGGGCGGCCTACAACACAATGCCAGGAGTAAAAGGTAGCTTTTGTTGTAGTTGGAATAGTCAACGCAGAGGGTGAGTGGAAGCTTGCATAATTCTCTTTGCGGAGCTGAGAGCCTTCTAGGTATGGACATTATTCATTTTTACCAGAGTTAGTGGTTTTGTAACTATAAACATCTTGCCAGTCAGTCTGTACCCCTTGAGGGCAGGGCTAGCCTGTCTGCCATCCCAGGTTTCCTGTGTGTTGGCTTCTTGTGAGCCGTTAGAGGATGGTGGTCCTGAGGGGTGTGAGGAAGTCTGGGGGTTGTTGAAAGGCCTGGGGTGATGCTTGTGCTGTGGGACCTACCTTTTCAAACTTGAGCATCTTGCTGATCGTAGAAGAGATCATGGCACGGTGTCTGGAGATCCTGTGTAGTGAGGGTTCCTAAGAAGTAAAGCTTGTTGAAGATAGGGGAGAAGGATTCGGAATTTGAGGAAAGGGATTATGGGGGGTGGTCTTCCAGATCAGAGGTATGGTTAAGATGTACTTAAATTAACCAAGAAAGGGTGAGAGATAGGAGTCTGCCGTGACTTGTTTTCTGAATTGTTTTTTTTTCCCCCCTGTGACAGGGTTTAACTTGTTCTGTATAATAGGCTGGCCTTGAGCTCACAGAGATCCACCTACCTGCCCTCTACTTCCCAAGTGCTGGGGTTAAGGCCTGAACCGCCGCCACCCAGCGGTTTTAGGAATTGGTTTTGTTTTGTTTTGTTTTGTTTTGTTTGAGACAGGGTTTCTCTGTAACAGCCCTGGCTGCCCTGGAACTGGCTCTTGTAGACGAAGCTGGCCTCGAACTCGAGAGATCCACGGACCTGCCTCTGCCTTCTGAGTGCTGGTATTAAAGGCGTGTGCCACCACCGCCCAGCTGGCTTTATGAATTCTTTAAGGCTGTGTTTTGCTTCTTAAGGTGGTAAACTGGTGTTTGACCATCTGGAAGCTTGTAGGAAGGGGTTGGGCAGATGTGGGAAGTACTGCCTGCCCTTGCTTGTAGGGTCTTCTATAGTACTGTCAGAAATCCCGTCCTTCCGAACTGCTGTAAATAGCAAGAGTCAATTCTTAAGTGTTTACAAAACTCAGAAAGCCTGGGCTGGCGCCCCATGTTGTGAAATAGTCTCACCCTAGCTGCGGCCTGGCCTGCGCCACCAAGCTGGCATCACACATGCACCTTCAGTACCTGCAGCCTTGAATGCAGAACAGGGTCTCACAAGAACAAACACAGTGTGGAGACTGCGGAGCGTGTGCACTTGCTCTGCCTGCGTGGCTGTCAGCACATATGTGCTGGGCCTGGAAAAGCAACCAGAAATCTTACGCTGAGCTGCTCTCCAGCCCCTAAAACAACACTTTTTTTCCCCATTAAATTTAGGAGGCAGAGGGCTGGAGATATAGCTCAGTGGTTAAGAGCACTGACTGCTCTTCCAGAGGACCCGGGTTCAATTCCCAGCACCCACATGGCAGCTCACAACTGTCTGAATATCCAGTTGCAGGGAATCTGACAACTTCACACCAATGCACATAAAAATAAAGTTAAATAAACCATAAAAATATTTAAAAAAAAATTTAGGAGGCAGAGAGTCAAACCCACTTTGGGGTTCAGAGAGCTCTACTTTACTGTCTTACAGCTTTAACAGGCATTTGTGTGTGGCCATCTACTTAATCCAGTCATGTTTAGGAGGGGCGTGCGGTCACCCTTTGGGTGTATTGAGGTGAATGTATATGATATGTAGGCACACTGCAGCCAGTGTTGTGGTCTTCGTTGTCACCTTCAGTTTGTGGGTCTTGACTGCCATTCTGGGCCTCCTGTGGGGTGTCATCTGGACACTTTTTGTGTTCCCTGGGCTGTGCACCTCATCCCAATCCTTGGTCAACACAAAAGATCCTGAATTTGTTCCCTTGTTGAGAAAAGGGCCTCTCATTCTTCACCGGGCAAAATCTAAGTTCCTGAAACCGGAGGCTGGGCACCACGGAGTCAAATTTGAGTTTCTGGTGTGGCCTGAATAGATGACATCTGGAAGAGTGGTCTGGGAAGTGACAGAATGGATTCCCTGTGGGTTCTATCGTTACGGGATTGGTGAATTTAGACAGGTTACTCTCCTGGTTCTCCTGAGTTCAGAGATTAAAGGTGTGTGTGTGTGTGTGTGTGTGTGTGTGCAGTCTGTGCTTGCTGAGTAAATAGGTTAATAAGAGGGTAAGCCAAACCTCTTTCCTAAACTTTTCCCCAGGGTGTGGGGCGAAGATACGCTCATGTGGTGTTGAGGAAAGCGGACATTGACCTCACCAAGAGGGCTGGAGAGCTCACGGAGGACGAGGTGGAGCGTGTGATCACCATCATGCAGAACCCCCGGCAGTACAAGATCCCAGACTGGTTCTTGAACAGACAGAAGGATGTGAAGGACGGGAAGTACAGCCAGGTGCTGGCCAACGGCCTGGACAACAAGCTGCGCGAGGACCTGGAGCGGCTGAAGAAGATTCGGGCCCATAGGGGGCTGCGCCACTTCTGGGGGTGAGTGGGGGGCATCACATGCTTGCTCTGAGTGGGCTGCTGTCTGACCTTGCTGGTGTGTGACCTGTGGTTTGTTTTCCTCCTGCAGCCTTCGTGTCCGAGGCCAGCACACCAAGACCACTGGCCGCCGGGGCCGCACTGTGGGTGTATCCAAGAAGAAATGAGTCCCTGGGCCTTTGCTGTTAATAAATAGTTTATATGCCTGTGACCTCGGTCTCTGTCTTCCGTGTGGCTGGGTGGCGGTGGGGGAGGATTCTGCAATGGTTGGCTGGAGGGGGTCCCTGCTGTGACAACTTCGGTGTGGTTGAATTAAAATACCTATCTCTCACACACAGGCTCCTGTGCATGAGCTGAGGCCTATAACCCAGCTCTGATTACTAACTGGAGAACAGTGCAGTCCTATCTCTTGCTTTCTGTTTGGTATAAGGTTGCAGGAACAATCATTGGTCTTCATGGAGACTGCCAGTCCCCACCCTTTGGCACAATCATGTCTGGGCGGGAACAGGTGTTGCCACGGGTGTTGGTAACCCCAAGGGGGAGCTTGAGCAAGGATCAAGCTGGATCTCTGTCAGTACGGAAGAGTACAGAGCTGTTGAGAAGTGGGCAGAGGTGTTGCCGCGGGCTTGGGCAACCCCCAGGAAGAGCTTGAGCAGGCAAGAGTACAGAGCTGTTGAGAAGTGGGCAGAGGTGTTGCCGCGGGCTTGGGCAACCCCCAGGAAGAGCTTGAGCAGGCAAGAGTACAGAGCTGTTGAGAAGTGGGCAGAGGTGTTGCCGCGGGCTTGGGCAACCCCCAGGAAGAGCTTGAGCAGGCTTTAGATCTCAGTGCAAAGTACGTGTAGTTAAGAGTAGTGTTGAGTGGGCACATCGTGGCCGGATGCTGCTCCGGTGAGTTAATGGGCGTTGGCAACTCCAGAGGTCCTAAATACGGGAACTAGGTGGCCCGGTTCCCTACACGCTTTACCGCAAGAACGAATACGGGAAGGGCTGGGCCAAGCGCGATGCACGCTGCTTGTCGACTTCCGGCCTTGAGTGGCATGATGGGAAGGCAGTGGGGGAGGGGCGCAATGGAGGAGCCGAGCTTGGCGTGTGGGCTAGGAGAAGATTGTGGTTCCCAGAGTCGCTGCGGTGGGCTTGGGGCTGCACCTCGCAATGCGCCAGGCCCGCCGCACACAGGCCTTCGTGTTTCTGCTGCCGCGGCCGGTTAGGGCCGCTTTCCCGCCTCCTGGCGCTCTAACAGTTCTGCCCACAGGTCTCCGCGGCTCACCATGCCGGTCAGCCTCTTCCGGCGCCTCCTCCTGGCGATCCTGCTGCTGGTGATCCTCTGGACCCTCTTTGGACCCTCCGGCTTCGGGGAGGAGCTGCTGAGCCTGTCTCTGGCGTCCCTGCTGCCTGCCCCAGCCTCACCCGGGCCGCCCCTCGCCTTGCCCCGCCTCTTGGTTTCCAACCCCCAGGCCTGCGCTGGCCCCGGACCCCCTCCCTTCCTGCTCATCCTGGTGTGTACGGCCCCGGAGCACCTGAACCAGAGGAACGCCATTCGGAGGTCTTGGGGCGCCATCCGCGAGGTCCGGGGGTTCAGGGTGCAGACGCTCTTCCTCCTGGGAGAACCTACAGGACAGCACCTCGCCGCCGACCTGACCTCGGAGTCGGCGGCGCAGAAGGACATCTTGCAGGCCTCCTTCCAGGATTCCTACCGCAACCTCACTCTCAAGACCCTCAGCGGGCTGAACTGGGTGAATAAATACTGTCCTATGGCCCGCTACATCCTCAAGACAGACGACGACGTGTATGTCAACGTCCATGAGCTGGTGTCAGAGCTGATCCAGAGAGGGGGTCCTTCAGAGCGGTGGCAGAAGGGCAAGGAGCCACAGGAAGAGACCACAGCTGCCCATGAAGAGCGCAAAGGCCAGGCGGTACCACTTCTGTATCTAGGCCGAGTGCACTGGCGGGTACGCCCCACTCGGACCCCAGGGAACCGGCACCACGTGTCAGAAGAACTGTGGCCTGAAACCTGGGGTCCTTTCCCACCTTATGCCTCGGGCACAGGGTACGTACTGTCCGCCTCTGCTGTGCGGCTCATTCTGAAGGTGGCCAGCCGGGCACCCCTTCTACCTCTAGAGGATGTCTTTGTGGGAGTGAGTGCAAGGCGAGGGGGCCTTGCCCCCACACACTGTGTCAAGTTGGCTGGCGCCACTCACTACCCCCTGGACAGGTGCTGTTATGGGAAATTTCTGCTAACATCCCACCAGGTGGATCCCTGGAAAATGCAGGAAGCCTGGAAGCTGGTGAGCGGACGGGATGGGAAAAGGACTGAGCCCTTTTGCTCCTGGCTCCAGGGATTCCTGGGCGTCTTGAGGTGCCGGTTCATAGCCTGGCTCAACAGCTAAGGCAGCTCCTCAGAGACCTGTGCCCAGGCTGCAGCTCCCTCCCTGCGGTGACCCATCTCCTCACAGCAGACTCTGAAGCCACTACCAGGCCTGTCCTGAGAGAGCCAGACAGCAGGGAGGGATAAAACGCAGGAGGGGTGCCAGGGAGACTGCTGTCACCAGCTGGGACAGGAGCCCAATAAAACGTCTCCACCCCAAGTGCAGGTCTTCACCTGTCTTCACCAGGACCTCAGCACACCTGCTGTGCTGCACAGAAGTCCATCTCGGGGCAGTAGGTGTGGGGTAGGAGAGGCAGGGCAATGAGCTGAGTCTAGAACAGCCCCATACGGGGAAAACATCTACAGGGTGATCCAGATACTTCTCCAAAACCTTGTTTAACACCCACCCACCCAAGAAGCTAGCTAAGTGCTAAGGTAACACACAAGGCACATGGGATGAACTCCCTTTAGATCTTTTATTATTATTTACATTTTGTGTGTGTGTGTACACACACTGCACGCTGCCCTGAATGTGCACTAGTCCACATGTCCACAGAAAGTCAACAACTTGTGTGAGTGACTCTCTTATGCCGTGACACAGGCTTGGTGGCAAGTGTCTTTGTGCACTGAGCCATCTGGCCCCTGTGGTTATCTTGGGGAATGCCATCTCTGGCTCATCGCACAAATCTATCCAGTGCAGAAGGGCGGGCTCCAGTGGGCTTGGCTGTCTTCTGCTTCTGTCGCTGCTGCTGCTGCTCCTCGAGGCTCTGCCGGACTTTGTCCTGGAGACAAAGAAGTGGGGAGCGCCAGGCAAAGTGAGCAGGGGCTGGCTGATGAGGAGCAGGCTGACACCTGCCCACACCCATGCTTACGTACCCTGTGTTCCTGGTCCATGACCTTCTTCTTCCTCTTCACCAGGCTGGCTGTGGAGCTTCGGCCCTTCTGCTTTGCCTTGGGTTGGAAGGCGGCCTTGGCATCAGGGTCATAGCCCTGACAAGGGACAGGGATGACATAAAGGAGCTGCCCTTCAAAATGGGGTAGGGCACAGAGATGAGGAGGGCTGAACAACTGGACAGCTTCATACCAGTCTCTCTATCCGCTCCTTCTGCTGCTGCTCCAGAGTAACCACATCCACCTCTGCCAGGGCTCGGGGGTCCAGACAGATGAGCTCTGCAGGTACCTGGAGGAGTCACAGGGAAGGCATGGGTAGGAGCCCCAGGGAGGTGACACCAGAGAGAATGAGGGAGGGGACAAAGCGCCAGCAGAGCTCACCTTTTCCAGTAGCGCCTTCACCTCCCATTCCTGGCGCTGCTTCCGGCTTCTGTAAGGGTTATTCTCCAAACCATCGAAGTTGGGCTCAGCAGACCCTGAAGGGGGAAAATGCAAAAGCCCTGCCACTCTGGACTGACTGGGCCTGTCGGCCCTCCCCAGCTGTTCTACTCTCTGACTCACTTACCAGGGACCAGCATGCTGGTCATGCCTCCACTGTGTCCCACCCCCAACACGTCCTCAAAGGGGCAGAACTGCAGGCCATGCACATGGCCCGAGAGTCGGTGGGTGAGATAGGGCTGTTCCAGGGTGGGGGGGCTGGCCTTGCCCGGCCCTGCCCATATGTTGACCACATCACCCATGCCTGCAACTAACAGTCCCCGCTGGGAGAAGGCCAGATGTCCTGCTCCCTGGGGCAGGGTCCGGGCACTCAGGGGCTGGAATGTCCCTCGCAAGTCAAAGATTTTCAGCTGGTGGTCCAGGCCGGAAGTGGCCATGTACCTGTGAGAAATGAACCAGTTAATCTCCAGTGGGTGTTGGCAGAACCTGTGGCGAAATCCCAAGTATCTACTCTGGTTGTGAAAGAAAAGACTAGTAAGTTCTCTCCACACTAAACACTGCCTGCATCTCACACAACTCACCCCACTGTCTCCATTCATTATTTAGTATTTATTCGTTTCGAGATGGTCTCACTATGAAGCCCTGAACTCAGGGAGATCAACCTGTCTTTACCTCCCAAAGGCTGAGATTAAGGATTTGGACCTGTTTTCAAGGCCAGAGAGGAAATCTGGGTTAGGGAGTGGCTTGAGAAGGACGTGAAGTCTTTTGTGATTTTGTTGTGGTTTGGCGGCGGAGGGGGGGGAGGGTGTTTGAACTCAGGGCCCGCTGGGCAGTTGTTCTGCCCTTTACTCCGGGCCCAGGCCTATTTGGTGTCTGCTCCCATACCTACTGGACCCACACTGCCTTAGACCAGTCACAGATCTGTAGAACACGCCAGTCTACACCTAACCGTGCATTCTACTTCAGAAGGGCAGCAGGGTGGCTCAACAAAGGGGCCGAGCACCCTTAGAGATGAGGGAGGCCTCCCCTAGCAAGAGACCCGACCAGCTGCAGGCAGACATGAAAGTAGGAGCTGTCTTCAGGGCTGGGGAGGGCTCCAGCGAGAGGAGTGCCAGGACAGGAGAAGACCATGCTTCCCAAGACATCCCTCCTAGAAAGCAAAACAGTGCACGAGAGGGGAGCTAAAGGTGATGAGCCTTGCCAAGGAGTCTCTTGGCCTTGACCATGAATCCAGGAAGGAACTGAAAAATTCTAGGGCAATCCAATAGCACCCCTGGGCTAGGCATGATGCGTGTGGCTTTAATCCCAGCACTAAGGCAGGTCTCTGTGAACTCGAGGCCAGCCTTGTCCACATCAGCCAGGGCTGTATAGTGAGACCATGTCCTGCTGAAAAGGCCGCTGGTACAAACCAGAAATGACAGAACGATACGGACAGTGTCACATCCTCGGGAGGACCTGAGGCTGGGCAAGTCCCAGTCTGGCAACCTAGCTGCTGTACTCACACGAAGCATGTCAGC